AGGTGGCGGCGCCGGAGGGGGAGGCGGGAGTTGAAGGGTGGGGCGCAAGGGAGGGATTCAGTGAAAGGGTGGGGGGAAGGGGTACCCATCCGTCGGGAATGGGCCAGGGGGTCGCAACAATCGCATTCCCTCGGGTGCTAGGGGGCACATCAGCTCAGCCCCCACTCAGCCCCCGCGCTCCGCGGAACCACTGCAACACTCACAGCCCTTACTGACGCCTACCATGTAACGCCTAACATGTATCTTTTCTCCCCCCCCCCCCTCTCTCTCCCCTGTGTTCTCTCTTTCCCTCTCTCTCACGCGTGCATTTTCCGCTTGGCCTAAAAAATAATTATAATAGAAGTGGCGGCGCCGGATGTGGTCCGTCCGTGTCAGGTCGGGCCGACGTGCAACAAGCGCTACAACAAACACAACGACAAATCATCGTTGTCTGCTCGTGCCTCGAAAAGTAAAAGTACACACAGGGCGTAAAAGCGCCACGAAATAAAACGCCAGCGTAGGCGGATGGCTCTCGTAGGAATTGTACGGATGTGTCAACAAATGCGACAAAATAATTCTATTTTAGAAACATCTAAATCCTGCTTGACCAAACCAGTAGCCGCTGGTACGCCGGCACTTCAACAAAATTCGTGCACAGAATCAGCAACCATGAGCAAGCCAAAAGTTAAATTTAGAGGAACGTGCGGTAGCGCAGGTAAAAAAGGGAGGGGGAGGAGAGACCGTCACCAACTCCCGCCGCAAGAGAATGAGAAGGAGATAGAAAAAGGTAGAGAAGGAGGGAGGGGGGGGGGGGGGAGAGAGGGGGAGGGAGAGAGAGGGGGGAGAGAGAGAGGGGGGGGGAGAGATTCTCTGCGGTCCACGACCTGCCCAAAACCACGATGGAGTGACTCGTACATACAGTCTTCCTGCTCGCGACGTGAATACGCGAACACGAACTCTGTCCATACATCCGAATCAGGTTGGCCAAATGGCAATGGCCGGGCGGTGGACCCCACATCCTCTCTCGTCCCGCCAACGGCAGTCCTGCGGACTGATAACTCGAGTCTTATCCAGACATACGCACGACCGCACCCTCCGCGCCCACCACCAAAAAGCACCATCATAAAAAAATCGAAGGATTCCTTTTCTCGAACGTTTACTGTCCAATATTTGCAAGCGAGTGCCACAAGGTAACTTGAGAATAACATGAAGGACAAAAGTTCATTTGTCGTTGGTCAACTTCGAATAAAAGAAAGTTTCTATTTTTTTTCCAGATTTTTAAAGACCAGTAATCGACGCGTCCTACCAACAACGTTTTATCGACAGCGCGTCATTTTCACAATGTCCTATCTACAGCGCGTCATTTTCACAATGTGGGGTTGGCTTTAAATATTACTAGAATAAATTGGGTTGGGTGAAAGCGTCGTCTCGAGCGTCCCTTCTGCTTGCGGTGTCACAGGGGAGGACTCATCACTTAGTTTACCAGCTGGCACGCTTCCTGACTGTAAATGGCGTATTTCTCACCCCCCTTATTTAACTTGCCCTATTTGATGCCCAGCACCTCACGCCATTTTACCTTTCACGGACGCAGGCCGTGATATCAGAGACACCCATGAGTCAGAGGTGCTTGCATTAACTTACAATCGGGCATGTTCGAAGAAAAAAAAGGATGATTGATAAACCCCCAACTTCGTCCGGGAGAATAAATCGAGGCAAGATCACTTGTGTACTAACTCGTGTACTCAGGATTGGAATAATGGCGCACGTACTTGTCCAAACAGTACTATACCTCGTCATGATGGTAAAAAAATATGGTGAATCAACGTTTTAATCAACATATTAATCCTTTGCACACTAACCTTGAGTAACCCCCAGTAACCCCCGTCAGAGTGAACCTCAGAAGGTTGGGCCCTCCACGCTTCTCTCGGCACCGCGGCGTGGCGAGTCGAGACCCACGGCGGGGACCATAACGGTGCATACTTTACTGGGGAGGTGACAGATCTGGGTTATGAAGATAAATAAGAAGTTACGGTCATGCAGCTAGCCGCACTGTGCACGGCTGATGCACCGAGGACTCGTTCAACAACAATACGGCATGAGGCTCTCAACGTCGCCTGAGGCGGTCTGAAGCAGTCGATGATCGGCGCGTCATCAGGAGGGTGAAAGCAACGGGAAAGTTGTGGTACGTCATTGTACACATATACACACATTATACATTTTCATTTTACAACGCTAGGAAGCAGCATTTGTGACTGTTTACAAAGTAAAAGTACCAAAGAAATAATCGAGGGGGCATTACTAGTAATACCGCATCGCATAGTACCTTGGAGTGTATTACAGGAGTAAAAAGCCCCTCGGAAATAACGCGATAAATTTTAATCGCAAGATTCAGTGCGATACTGTTCTAGATATGACGTATTGTGCTGATTCTCAAGTTGCAAACTACAACACATTGTCCAAATTTAACGCGAAAAAAAAGTTTCAGCATTATTTTCACAATAAAGCTTTTCTCTGCACTTTTCAGCTCAATATTTTGGTGACAAAATGTCATCACGACGAAAACAGCATCGGTCAAATCCCCAATTAAATGCGAGACAATTCCGGATTCAAGTTTAATTCGCGAAGGTCGATTGGACAATTCGTCCAGAAGAAAATGGATCTGAGATTCAGTCTAAAGATTTGGTCACAGTGTTTTTGAAAACTGTTTTCTGTTGATATCTCGATTCGTCCAGCTAGTCAACTAAAGACGAAATGCGTGGAGCATCGAGCCTTAGCCCAGCACGGGCCTGGCTCAGCCTATGATGGACCAGCTCTCCGCAGAACACCAGCGTGGCCAGGGCGAGGCCGGCCAATAGAAGCCCGCAGACGCCAACCACCAGAGAGAGGCCGTTGTGGTTGACCATGCCGAGGCGGTCGCGGTACTTTTTAGCCATCTGCAGACCATAAAAAAGCAAATGATAAAAAAAAAAAGGTTTTACCTATAATAAACGGTGCTCACATCTATACCAAACCTCTAGTGCACCCTCAATAAACACCCAAACCATCCTGATTGCCTTCAATTTTAGCGTTAAAGGAATTTCAAAATATAATCGGGCTCATGAATAAATTTGCTTGCCCGCATGGAGAAGAACGACGCAATGAGAATGAAAACGTACTGAATTTTATATATAGTGTCACAAAATTTAACTTCCACAACTGAAAATGGTTGTAATATTAACTTGGTAGATGTGCGCCAGAACACGTCTCTAGTGACAGGCTTGGCTATATCTCACGAAACACTGTCAGGGTGCGACGCGCCTAGCGCACAAATAGCTGCTGGCACCCATGATCAATTAAGAAGAAAGTGGGCGGAACTGGCCTTGCGGCGAGCCTTGCGGCCCCAAAAATTTAACCCGCTCTCAACTGTCGGGGAATTATCATTCCAAGTATGATATTAAACTACCCCGGTCTGCGGCGCTGACACTTGAGTCGGGCAAAGGGCACAGTAATAAAAAGGGCCTTCGGTCCCAAAAGTCACTCATTTTGTTCCTCGGGGTTTCAGTTTGATTAGTTACCCCATCGAATACCAAATATCTGAGAGTAAACATTAAAATGTTTTGGGGTTTTCGTGTGGAAAAAGCCCTCTGGCGCCCAAACGGTTAGAGATGGGCAAAACGGACAAAATTTTGGTCCAAATGATTCTACCTTGACGACAGTGGAGAAACTTATGTTACCAAGGTAACATTTCTTGACGCAACCAAACCAGGCAACGTTTGGTGATGCAACCAGTTTGAGATGGCCCTATCCTTTTGCATGGGGTAGGTTATTGCATCAGGAAAAATAACCACGCTTGGCCACATGATGAAACGTTACCTCGGTAACATTAGTTTTTCCACTATAGTTACCTCTAAGAAAGCTGTGAGAATAAATAATTTTTTGGGGCTTTTTGTTTTTAATTTTTTGACACGTCAATTTTTGAGCCAGAGGGCTCAAAATCAATACAGTTCTTCCATTTTATAATACAAAGTTACAATAAAAATTAAAGCCTTCTAGCTCAAACCGTTTTCGAGTTATCGTATTATACAGACAAACTGACGCGAAACTTTTTCATCATCACTGGAGTGATAGGCTTCGCTAATAATTCAGTCAACGAGAAACTAGCGTTGAAGTTGTCCAGAAACATTACAACCACCTCTGGACACTCTTTATGGGAAAAAACAATTTATCCAGCAAGGATGAGTTCTTGAGCACATCTTAATCGGATGCCAATTTGACGTGTCCTTCGACCAAAAGCGGACCTACGCGCGACCGATGAACAACGGCAAATTTGTTACGGTGCCGCCGACGAAAGTGCATCTGCTCTTCGCAAATGACCCCTAAATATGAATTTAAGCAAAAAAAAAAAATATGATGTGTCAGTCGATGACACATTTGAACTATTTCCCAAAGTAGAATGAAAATCGGGAATTAACACTCTGGAAACTCAGGTGTGAGACTGTATACCTGCGAGGCAAACGTATCTCACAACAAACGATGTGAGTCAAACGTACCAAATGGTGTTACTCATTGGGCCTCACATCAAATGGAGTGATACTTTCTCATACCAAATTGTGTGAGGCATAAAGGGTGTCACGCCATTCGGTGTGGGGCTCAGGGGGTCTCACACCATTTGGTGTGAGCTATTTTGCCACACACCATTTGGTGTGAGACTGTCTCACACCTGAGTTTCCAGAGCACTCGGCGGGGTTCCCTTGTAAGAGTGGGTACAAAATTATAACTTTCCAGGTACGAATTTGCAAGTATTAGAGATGTGAGTAGCAAGGCACCTGGATAGATACGTAATTGACGTTTCACAATTAACGTGCGAGTTATTATTAAGAGTGTATGTACTGGGAATTCAGAGATGGAAAGAGACTTTTAATGTAGACACCACTGACAATACTCGTTCTCCCCAACACGAAGTAGACGTGTTGGAAGAGAGGTAGCCTGTATAATCGCAGTATGTGAAACAAAAGTCTGGTTTTATCATGGCAGTCTGTACGTGCAGGAATACGGCCATCCAAATTATTTGCTGATAGGCTTATCCGAGCCTTTTTCGCTGTGTCTGAGCAGAGGTACCGAAACTAATAAATATGAGGTCATGTGGCTAGTCAGAGGCCTGTCGCGAGGCTTACAAATCTTGTTAAGTTCCTTTCTATGGCGGTGAACGCCCTGGAGGTGAGCCCAAACTCGCGCGTCTTCGTCAATGCGTCGTCGAGGGGCTCACGAAGAAGGGAGCCCTTATGGACCAAAAAGCTGACGAAGAACGTGGCCAGCCTCTCGCTTCTCCTAAGAAGTAATTTGAGTTGGTCGTCCATAAAGTGACGTGGCGCCGCAGCCCTGTTGCAAAGAAGTTAAGTTCACAGCATGATCCATTCCACGTAAACTTCATGACGTTTAACGTACCACATGGATGCTTCCGACATGACGAACCCCATGTTCTCCGGGTCTCTCCTGATCTGAGCGGAACAGTTGCTTAAGCTGTTACAGATCTCGAGTCGAGGGCTAGTGTTCAACTTGTCGTCCTCCTTTAGCAGGTACGTGGCCACGTCAAACAAGAATCCGACCCTCTGCGAGCAAACGAGGGAGTGTCAGACCAAGGATGGGTTTCAGCTGAATCTCGGTCTCACCTTGACGTCTCGGATGCCGCTGGGCCCGGGCTGGCTAATGCGATCGATGAAGGCCATAGCCAGGCTGGCGCGGTAGCCCGAGTTGAAGTGCATGCAGAAGATGGTCCACAGAAATATGAGAAACACAGTCCGCTTAGGGATCCCTCTTAACTTGGGATTAGGCTCCCCGTCAAGCAATACGCCGAGAAGGACTATGACATTCTCGAAACCTCCGCCACTAATCGCCCGGAACACCACCACTGAACAAAAGATTTTTAGTAAAGGCGCGTTAAGCTCAAAGGGCTTTAACTATTATATACAATAATGTCAAAGCTAAGCTTTGCGGAATTTAGCCGAAGTCCATGGTTTAGGTTTAACATAATTAGCCCTAGAAGCTTAACCAAAGTTTACCTTGGTTCACGGAAGGTCAAAGTTAGTTTCAACTACTGAATCATTTTAATCACCGAAATTGGAGTATATTACCATTTAAACCTACCGAGCAGCACCATGACACCACACACCGCTGCCCACAACCGAGGACTCAAAACGACGAACGGGTACCGCCACGCATCCACGGGCAGTCTAGCCGTCACGAACGCACTAATCGCGTCCTGGCCGTACGGAGCGGTGGGGTCGAAGACTTTGCAGCGTCCGACAGTGGGGAACAGGCCGCCCACAACCACATCATACTGCTTGAATGCTTGGTAGATACTGTCTTTGGTCTTTTTCTGGAAAACCAGAGAGGTAACAAGGCGGCGAACTGGTGCTCTATGCAGGCGTACGTAACCCAAAAAATTTCTTGCGAATTTAAACCATAGCGTAAGACACATTGCCTGCAAACACTCTTTAATGTTGAAACCGCAATACATTGTTTTTGCAAAAACTGGCTTTACGGGGCTTACCGGTCTTTGCCGAAGGAAGGCGTTGGTTGCTGCAACCGTAAGTGGCAAAAAGTATACGGTTGCGTTTCCGTACGCTGCGAAGTAGTTCACCAGGTTAATGTCGAGGCCTCGGAGGCCACCGGCAGGATCTGCGTACACATAGGGGGCACTTTCTAGAGGTGCCACATGGACATCACAGCCGTTAAGCGGAGAACGCCCTCGAGGCTCCAGAAAACGGACGGAATCCGCAGTGAGGCTATCCCCCGCCGACCACAACAACTCCAACGTCGTCGTGGACGGGCCAAAGCCGCAGCGATACCCGGGCAAGAACCCCGGCCGCGACAGATACACCGGCACCGTCTTGAGACGAGAGCCGTCATGCTTTTGCACCGCGATGGCCGTGTGCAGCCACCCTATGCCCCTGAGCGCCGAGACGATTGTTTCCACATCTGCCCTGCCGTAGGGGTCGTCCCCCGGTCTCAGCACGGTGGTGTAGATGACGAGGATAGGCGTGATGTGCTTGAGGGGTACCAGCGTGTCGCCGCCCTCGCCGAACATTCTGTCGACGAGGTCCACCTCACTGCCAGCCGCCAACAGAACGACGACCAGGTCGACGTCAATTTTTTTCCAAGGCTACAGACCACGAGGAGACGTGTAACAGACAACAGGCAATTGACGATACGTCGAATTTTTTAGCGGGTTCTAGGCATTACAAATACAGAAAGTATAAAACCCGATGCTCACAGAGAAAATGCACAAGAGAGGGCGAGCGTGTCTAATAAAGTCGATGTACTGTTACTAAACCAAAAGAACTGGTAGAATTGGGTAGATACATTTGGGGCAGGACAAAGAAGCCATAGTTTAAGGCCTTACATCACAGTTAAGCCGCTAGTTTTAAACTAGTTGTTTCTGGTTATTTTTATGAGTTAAAACGAGTCAGGTGATCAAAACTAGGTTATAATTATGCACTGTGAAAAATATATTTGTACATGTACGATATATTTTGTAATTTGCCATTTACAATACGAGTCGCACATGCACAACCTCCCACTGTCGCTCGATATTCGATTCCAAGTCGATACACAGGGCTAGTAAATTGTACAATTTTAGATTGTACGTGTACGACTTCTTCCATGGGAAATTTTCCTGTACCCGGTACGACAATTTTTCACAGTGTGTAGGTAGGTTCCTCTTTCAACAAATCAAACAAGAAATAAGTTCCGGAAACTTTGGGTTTGTAAAGGAACGACACTTGTCATACTTGAGTCATTTTTCCCAATTATCACTTAACGCGCAAGATTTCAGAACCTAGGATAATGATAAAACCTTTCCGTAACTTCTAAAATACTTGAAAGACATGTCATTTAGGGCTGAACCAATGAAAACAGCAGAAAATGATTTAAAACAAGAAAATAATTTTTTCAGTACATTTTCAAAAATGTTATATATGTCTACAAATGTTTGTTTAAAAAGGAACCTACCTACATGATTTTTACCTAGTTTTGATCATCTGACTCGTTTTAACTCTAAAAAATAACCAGAAACAACAAGTTTTAAACTGTGATGTAAGGCCTTAAATCATTGTGTTACGAGTGAATGGTCATTTTGCTGGGGATAAAACAGCACCCAGTGATAAATATACTGCAGGTGGCTAACAAGGGCTATTCAAGCATCTTTATAGAAATGTCAGAAGGTTTCTGAGCACCAAACCACGTAAAATCACCATTTTTTTCTCGCCATGGGCGCTGGCGTGCATGACGACGGTGTAGTTGCCGTGCAATGCGATCAGCTCTTCGCGACAGAGCACGTCGCGGGGCGGGTCCCTGTCGTGCGCGATCAGGAGGTGGCGGTAGCCGTACAGCGGCCTCTGCGCGTCCAGGATGTCGACGAGGAAGCGCGTGTCCGTGCACAGCGGGACGGCCACCGAGCTCACTAGAAGCGCTGCCAGGGGTAGGGCCCACGGCACGCTCATGTCTGCACTCGGTGGCGCGAGACTAGTCCGCTTCAAAGTGCGCGTTACGCCCTCTCAGCTTGATTGCAACTTGCAATCGATTTACGTTCACCGACGCGTCAAGCTACCACGGTTTCTAGTGTTTTCGATCGACTGTCTCCTTCCTCGCAATTATTGAAATAGATGAGTGGGAGAAAGAATATGCCGGACAATGCACTCCGTCAATCCATGAATACTTGCGGTGTATTTGAAGAGAAGCCCGAGTGGCTGACGTTGACCCCTACGGCGCGATCCTCTTGAACGACCTACTGAACAACTTTTGGGACATCCTAACATCGATCCGACCACATGTCCTACGTCGGCCCCGCCTCTGCTCGCCGACGAACACAACCAGAGACGCCAGAAGACCGAGAGTCAGGATCAAAAGTGACCCCATGATATGTCGGACGCCGATGGGCTTTGGCCGGTACACCTCCATCCGCAATGTTTAAGCGACTGATCCCTAGGCACGAGCCGCAAGTCACAAGTGACGCGCGATCGGCCGCACTCGTCGCCAAATATGTGGTTTCATTTTTACTTCCTTACAATTTTTCGATATGACGGCTTTTTTACAACTTGATAAACTATTACGTCATTTTCACCAAATTTTCGTCGTTCTCTTAAACCTACTCTGAAAACTCAACAGTGTACATTGTATGCTGAAAAATCAGCGATCATTGATGATTGCTGATATATCAGTGTACATGGAATGATTGCTGATATATCAGCAATCATAAATGATCACGTTTAGGTTTTTGGCTAATATTTCCTTTCAGACGGATATCATCGGAAAATGGATAGCATTTCCAGATTCCTCGTGAAAACTGCTTTCAAACGAGCTACTATGTGATGGGGTTCGAATTGACCGCTACCGAACTTGGCTTATCTTACCGCCATTTTCGAGAGGCGGACCATTTCGGTAGTGAACCCTATCACATAGTAGCTCGTTTGAAAGCTTTTTTCACGAGGAATCTGGAAATGCTATCCATTTTCCGATGATATCCGTCTGAAAGGAAATATTAGCCAAAAACCTAAACGTGATCATTTATGATTGCTGATATATCAGCAATCATTCCATGTACACTGATATATCAGCAATCATCAATGATCGCTGATTTTTCAGCATACAATGTACACTGTTGAGTTTTCAGAGTAAACGGTACAAGGGAAAAATATTTGTCCTTGGACTCAACTTTGACAACTTACGTCTTGAAAATCAATTTAAAAAATACTTAAGATATTTTTGGCTACCTGTGGTTTTTGATTATTTCAAAGTCAATTTGAGCTAGAATGCTCATTTTTGATCTGTATTTTTATGATACAAAACGACCCTGAAATTCCGAGGTCGCTAACTAAATCATTAGAGTTTTCGTGCATAAGACAAACGCAGTGAAATCTTTTCGACCATTTTCGCTAACACTCGACCAATAAATGTGTACATGTCATATGCATTTTATTTAAAGTATGAATGCCATCTATGCACATGAAAGGGCACCCATCTTACCTCGTTACGGCGTTGTGTTTTCCCTGGCAAGCCAGTGAAACTTCTTACAGATGGACGGATTCGTCTATTGAATTTCGACGAATTCAGCTTAGTTCGAACAACCCATCGGAGCCCTCGCCGAAACGGCCTCCAAACCTCAGGTACATTAGTAACATTAGTCGCTCTGAGGGCGGCTCGTCGCGGCCAGCTCACACCTCACATAGGAACATGACCAGAGACTCCAGGAGTCCGGTGTCCAGGATGCACATCGCGCAGAGGATCTGCCACATGCGTAGGGCTCTCCGTTGGTACGTCAACAGTCCGACTGGCTGAAGTTCCTGCAGCGCGACCCCCTTGAGTGACCTCCTGGACAGCATCAGGGGCATCTAGCCAGATATCTGTCTGGGCGCGTGTACACCGCCTGCCCAGTTGCTGCTCGCCGACAAACACGACCAGGGACACCAGGAGCCCGGCAGTCAGGATGATCAGCGACCCTCGCATCTGTCCGACGCCAAGAGCCTTTGGCCGGTATGCTTCCGTCTGTAGTTTTTGGGCGACTGCGCCCTGAACACGCAAGACGCGAGTCGTCAACACGCGATCGGCCGAACTCTCAGATTAACGACTCATTAATATTTAGGGCAGAAGTAAAATAGAGGCACTAAATGCAACCAGCAGTGAAATGCTATTGCTCTGGAAAGTCAATTTTGTACATGTATCTAGTACCTCCTGAATACCCACATGTATTCACGGGGTATTCAGGGGGCAGTGTGTACATGCTCATGTATGCAGGAGGTAGAGTGTACGTACTTGGCTATGTACACAACTTGAGCCCTATGAAAAAATCAATGTGCTGAAGTGTGTACTTGGCAAAGTACACACTACCTCTTGCATGCATAAGCATGTACACACTTTCTCCTGAATACATGATCAAGTACACAGTACCTCTTGAATACATGAGGTATTCTAGAGGTACTGCATACATGTACACACTTGGGCTTCCAGACTGATCGCACGATACAAACAACGTCATGGTTTCCAAGCAGTTGTTGAAAAACCAAGTCGTTCTCATGTGTTTCTTTCAATTGTAATGATTGTCACTTGGATTAATAAAAAAGTTGTTTTAACCGTTAGCTTTTTTGATAAATATGAGTGGCGCTGGTAAAAACCAACAAAGCACAGAGTGAAGTACTTCCATTTTACTGATTGCTTCAGGGCCAGGGAATCTATGAAATGCTCTTAAGAAGTTGTATCTATGACTGCACTCACCAAACTATTAAAATAGTTGCGGTAATACATTGTCCACTTAAGCAACAATCCCGACTGCGTCACAATGGGCGTTATCCGGTTCAACGCCACCAGAATAGGCGAGTCTGTGGCGACCATGATTCCTAAGTGAAAGATTGCGAGTGGAGCTCTGTAGGACGCCAGAAGAGGTCGACCAGTATCGTCCACTAACAAGATCTGATCGAAGAACCTGCAGACATGAGAAACATAGGCCAAGTTTCCTCGCATAATTTTAGCCATCTCAGCACGAAATGATTTACCATCGCGTCCATGATGACATGATTAGGGCAGAGTTCTCCAAATCACGCATAAACTCTGTCGTGCAGTTGTGAGGTCTATTGCAAATTTCAACCAAAGGCATCAGCTTTTGGAGATCGGGAGTCCTTGCCATCAATCGCTTCCAATCGCCTGTCATCATGAGCACCCGCTGCAAAGTTGTTGTTCTTGATTTATTTTTGAAACTGAATGTTTAGTTCTAATTGTGCTTGATATACCTTAATATGGTTCAGTTCGGACAGTCTCGGTTCGTGCAAAGCATGGACGTTTGCTGTGGCTAGAGCTGCTCGATAGGCTGGAGTGAAGTGTAGACAAAAGAGCGACCACAGGAAGATACAGAAGGCGGTGTGACCGGATGTCGTGCGGGGCGCGGGGTTGCCCTCCAAAAACACACCTACTACGGTCATAGCGTTGGCCACGAAACCTCTGCCGTTGGCGTGGTTCATGGCCTTCACTGTGTGAAAAGAGCGAAGGTGGTTAGAGGGAATGCCCAGACACAGCCGTAACGGAAGAGACCGTACTCACTCACCTACCACAACCGCAAGACTTATAAGGCCCGCCCACACCTTAAGAGATATCACTCTGAAGGGGTATTGCCACCTAGGCAGCACATGGGTCCGAAGTGTGTAGAACTCGACCGAGTTGAAAGCGTACGGGCTGGTGAAGGTATACTGTCCGGTCTCACTCGGGAGCGGATACTGACCACCGACCACCATCTCAGCACCCCCGGTCTCCAGCAAATCAATTGCCTAAATGACAGTAAACTGACAGTAAGACTTCCAGCAAAGTTTCATATTATTCAAGGTGGGAGTTTCTCGCCACTACATTGAATCTATGGCGTCGCTACCGGTGGCATCATACTGGTTTCATGCCGCCATTGGTCAGTTATTTGTGAATTTTGTAAGCAGGAATACTGACTTTGTCTTTAGAAAAGAAATTCTTTTTTATTTAACATTAATTATTGACAATCTGATATTTATTTAGTAAAAATTCAGCAAAAGGGCGGGAAAGTCTAACCTTGAATGACACACACAATACACTGAAAGCGAATCATAGTACGTATTGGTCAACTTTCTTTTAAGTGATCGGTGTGCCCCGTGGAATGATCCAAGTTATGGATTATTTGAATGCTTGCGTTGCTGCCGTAGGCGAAGAACTCCGCCAAGTCGAAGTCTACTCCGAACAATCCAAATTCTGCGGTCCAGAACACAAATGGTGGAGAGAATCCGTACGCCACGTTGACGACGCACCCACGCAGATTCGTGAGGGGCGGGGACTTCTCCAGGGCCTGCAGCGGCAACGTGCTTCCCGGCGTCCACACAAACTCTAGGGCCGTGGGCGACCAGTTCTTGGAGCAGCTGACCCCGGGGAGCAGGGAGAGAGCAGACGAGTACACTGGCACGGGGCTGTCCTAGAAGCAAAAGTAGAACGTAAGGTAGTCGAAGGAAGCTCCTGCTCCTGGTGCCGGTGTAGTAACCAAGTTACCCACCTCGGCGTTAACGAGCTGCAGCGCGACGGAGATCTTCCACCACCTATCGTTGATCAGTCTTTGGACGACCCCCTCTGCGTCGCTAGTCGACGTGTCTGTGCAATTCACGCTTAACACTGCTAGCACTGGGGTGCTGCGCTTAACATGCTTGAGCGTCCTCAGTACCATAGCGATCTCATCGTCGCGCGACCCCATGAGGATCACCACTACGTCGATGGGCTGATCACAGTAGCGAAGACTTACTGCTGGCCTATTCACAGCGATGCCGTGGCGATGCATCTCGATAGTGGTCGCCTGGACGCCGTGCAGTTTTCCAAGCGTCTCGTGACAGAGGACAGGGTGTTCGATCTGCGCTAGCAAGACGTGCTTGTGCGCGGCTAGCACGTGGGAAAGGAAGCCGGCGGTGACGCATGGCGCTCTAGGGGTTGGCGAGAGGGTGGCCACCGCGAGCCTCAGCAGTGCGGCCAGCACCAGCAGCAGCGCCTCAAGCCGAGCGGGAGGAAAGGGCGACATAGAGAGGTGGGACTCCCGTAGCCACCCTGGCTTGCACTGACCGCTAGAGCGAGACTGACTCCTATCGGAATACGCGAAGGCGAAGGAGGTAAATCGATATTGTTTGTCTTGTTAGCTTAGTGCTACACAGGAAATGGCACACAACTAAACTTGTCGCGGCGTTTCTTGCAGCGCCTATGAATGTGAGGTATACAGCGTACACGAAATCATGATATTGAATCAAGTATTAATGTAAGTGGCTAAGAGCGTCTGCTACTTTATTTCAGAAGCAAGTTAGTTCGAGCCAGTTAAACTTTGCTTCAGCTCAATCCGTCCAAGCTAACGTCACCCTCGTTGACGCGGCCGGCGTGACTGCGAACCTACTGGAGAATTTCAGGGACCTCAGGCCAATTGGTAGCAGTCGTCGCTCAGCTGGCGGCTAGTAACGCCCACCCAGCTGCATCTCGCCGAGAAATATGACCAGAGACACCAGGAGACCGGCGGCCAGGATGCTTAACGCAGCGAGGATCTGACGCATGCCAAGGGCTCTCGGTCGGTACGAAGTCTTTCGCTGCAGTTCGGCGACTCCGGACTGAGAACAAGATGCATGTTACTGGCTTATGGTCATAGGTTTATTTATTTTTAAAGGGTAAACTTGACAAAAATAGTAGAGTCCTGATTTTGCATATTTTTTCAACTCGATGGTTCTTGGCCGCGTGGGACAATGAACTCACCAACAAGTTGAACCTGTGGCGGTAGTACTCCACAGATTTTCTCACAAGCCCTGACTCCATCACAATAGCCGTGATGCGGTTTAGCGCGAGCATGATGGGAGAATCCGGCGAGGTCATAACGCTCACGTGGAAGGTCGCCATTGGATCCTTGTAAAGTTGGAGGATGGGGCGGCCTCGACCGTCTTTCAGAATTATCTGGTCGAAGAACCTAGGGCAGCCACAACTTTAGGGAGCGCCCTCGTTGTGCTTCAACTTGTCCAACACGAGGTTCCTCACCAATACGTCCATTTCGACATGATAAGGGCAGTGTGATGTAGATCACGCATGACCTCGTTGGAGCAGTTTATGGGCGAGTTGCAAATCTCAACCAATGGCAGCAATTTGTTCAATTTGGGGTACTCTGCCATCAGGGGCATCATATCATCCGAAAGCATAAGTACCCGCTGAAAAAAAAAGAACAGTTATTTTTGATGCCGTTTTGATGGAGTCCACCGGGTTTGTTCACCTTTACGTCGTCAAGGTCGGTAAGTCCCGGTTCTTTCAAGGAGTTAAGGTTTGCCATTGACAGAGCTGCTCGGTAGGCTGGAGTAAAGTGCAGGCAGAAAAAGGTCCACATGAAGACGTAAAAGGCGGTGCGGCCAGAGTTTGTTCGGGGCGCAGGGTTGCCCTCCCAGAGCACGCCCACAACGGTCATGGCGTTAGCCACAGGGCCCCGGCCGTTGTCATGCTCCAGAGCTACCACTGCGCGCAATAGAAGAATACTGGTTGGGAGGACCATAGTTGAAACACGCCCGCCATTCTCACCACCAGACTAACCTATCACAACCATGAGACCCAAGATGCTCGCCCACGCCTTGAGCGATATCACCCTGAAGGGGTACTGCCACCTCGGAAGCCTACGGGTCCGCAGGGTGTAGCACCCTACCGCGTCGTACGTGTACAGATCGCTATAGGTGTACTGGCCGCGTGTACTCGGGCGAGGGAACAGGCCACCCAGCACCATGTCTGCCTGTCCAGACTCTAACTTCGGTACAGCCTAAAGGGGAAGAGGCAAAGAAAATATATGGACAGTCGTGCAGGCTCCAGTGCAACTGAACTCGATGGTTGATCATTTTTATGCCATACCAAAGCATAAAGCACTAAAAGATGATCAACACTTTTCAATTTCCGTGCAATCGTAGTAGACGGAGACCTGTGACCCGTGGAGTATGTTGAGGCTTGCATTGCTGCCATACGCGAAAAATCTTGCGACGTCGAGGTCTATCCCGAATACTTGATCATCGACGAAGACGAATGGGGGCGAAGAAACGTACGCCATGTTGACGACGCACCCACGCAGGTCGTCATGGCGCCGGGGCTTTTCCAAGGCCTGCAGCCGCAGCGTGCTCCCCGGCGTCCACAACCGCTCCAGGGCCATGGGCGTCCAGTTCTCGAAGCAGCGTACTCCAGGCCGCAGGGAGAGCGCGGACGTGTACACAGGCACGGGACTGTCCTGGACGCGGAAGCAGACCGTCAGGCTGTTGGCGAAAGCTGCCTGCGAATACTGATCACCCACCTCGGCGTTGAAGAGCTGAAGTGCGACGGCTATTTTCCACCGTCGATCGAGGATGAGCTCCTTGATGATGGCCTCGGCGTACCGGGACTCCGCATCCATGTCGGTGACGCCCAGTACTGCGAGCACTGGGATGCGGCGTCCGACCCGTCCGAGCGTACCCAGCAGCATCGTCAGCTCCGTGGCCAAGGGGACGTGCCCCGACCCCAAGAGGAGCACCATCACGTCGAGTTCACGCCGTCGGTAAACCTGCGAGCACGCTATTAAGCTCGAGGTTGTTGTAAACTTTAAGCAAAAGTTGCAGGTAAAGGGCAAGTGGCATGGACAACCTTAAGTAGAGAGGTGGGGAGGGGGAGCACTCAAAAAATACACGCCTTACAAGAGGTGGGCTGCTTCAGATAGGGTGATTCCAAATAAGTGTGTTTCTGTTTAGAGGCCAGGATTGAGACTAGGGGTCGCTGGGCTCGCCAGCTTAGACAGAAGGTAGGGCGGGAACAGGTTGCAACTTGCGAAGCCTGTTTCGCGAGACGCAGTAAAGCGTACATCTCCAAGGTAAACAAACATGTTCCAGTAAGTGTACCTTTATACATTGCGTCCAGGAAACGTCGTCCATCTCTGAACCAAATTATTGGAGCAACCCTACCAGCTGCCAATGCCAATGCCCCACCCCCTAAAGATATTGTGCACGGCAGTTAAACGAGACTTCACAGAGGTGTCGTTGCAGTGCGTCTCGACGGTAGTGGCCTGGAGGTTGTGCAGCAGGGCGAACGCCTCGCGACAGAGGACGTGCGCTCCGACCTGCGCCAGCATGACGTGCTTGTGCGGCGCAAGGGCGTGGGCGAGGAAGCCGCCGTCGACGCACGGCAGCCTGGGCTGCAGCAGGGAGTGGGTGGCGGCGGCCAGGACCACGAGCGCGACCGCCAGCGGTGCCCTCAGCAACAAGGGCTTGGGCGCCATGGGGAGTCGCCCGTCCCGCACCACCGTCCGCCCAGCTCACTGGAGCGACACTAAGGAACAGCGGGTTGGAGTGACCAAGTCGTTGGGGCGCAACGGCACACGCTTCCTTTCGCCTTGTACACTATCGTGGTTGTCACCAAGGTGAATAGAATCGACCCGCTGCATAACTTTGTGCGCATTTATTTGGCTGCCGCTCAGTTTCCCGACACTCCACTGATGGTCAGTGGATCCGATCTCTTTGCAGTCGTGTTATTTATCGTTTAAACAACGAAATTTAGGGCACAAGGAAGAGCGTCAATCATTTCGGTAAAATGGTAATACAAAGTAACATTGAAGCTTTCGAGCCTACACTACATATTGCCAAAATATTAAATTTTGGCGCTGGTGCGACTGTTGGAATGTATCGCTAGTACGGGTCGCTAGCCTTGGATACTTCTAGACAGCAGTAAGGCGTGCTCGCCACGCTGCGCCGTAAAAATACATGCAATTTTCGTTACATTTATCAAAACTGTTACAAAAACACATAAATCTATGCATAAACACCATGTGAAGAGAGGAGCGGGGGAGGGGGGGGGTCATCAAATAAAAACATAAAAATGCACCACGAGAAGGGAGATAGGGAAAAACATCACAAAAATGCATCACCTGGTTCGAGTACGCCCCCAAACCGCTTAATCGTTCGCGATATAACCCCAAAAAGTACCAAAAACAATTATAAAGTAGAACGTTAACACACCCTGGGCAGGTCCCGATGGGTCAGGTGGTGCACACCACCCTCCCGCCGCTATCTCGGCTGCTGCCTTCGCCCTCCTGCTCCTCCGCTCCGCCTTGTCGCCGTTGCCGCCCGCTGCCGCCACGCCACGGCCGGCCCGGGCGCGCGTCCTTCCGCCGTCCCCACTTCCGGTGCGGGTGCAACGCCGCGCTACTTCCGGTCACCCCCGGGGCAGCGCCGCGCCACGTCAACGGCATCCTGTTTGCCGCTGCCCAGGAGTTCCGCCCGGCAAATAAATGAGAGTGACCTAATGAGCCGCCGCTTGAGGCTTGAGGTCCGGACGTCGTGCAGTGAGAATATGAGGGAGAGAGAGAGGGAGAGAGAGAGGGAGAGAGAGAGGGAGAGAGAGAGAGAAACTTCTGACACAAACGAAGCTATTCGATTCGTAAACGCCTGCTGATGCAAAGGAAAGGCCACGGTCTACCCCACACCCCGTTCCGCCCCGCGGGGCTCCGGTCCGTCCGACGGTCCGAATCCAAACCCCCACGGGATGAGCGAGCGGGCAGCCGCTATGTGGTCGGAGTATCAAAATAAATCAGAGTACTTTTGGCATTTAACGTATGGGGCCCAGAGGGCCCAGAGGGGCACGGAGGAGAGCACAGACCGCCAGCGAGGGAGGGAGACGGGGTAGGGGAGAGGGCACCGCCGCCCTGCCCACCAGCACGAGGGCCTCCAGGGGCGTGCCAAAGGCCCAAGGAACAGGAAGTAAAGGGCCGGGGGAGGGGGAAGTGTAAATGACGAACACCCCCCGGCGGCTGGAAAATGCGCTCTCCGTATAAGCATGGATGGGGTTGGAAGAGTCCATCTTTTACCGCCTACCGACCGGCCAAGATAGATCGGTCCACAGCAAGCAAGAAGCAGTACGGCTTCAGTCTCAGCGTCAAGCATTACTTTCGCTCAAAAAACGCCACGATTGAAAATAGCATACCGCAAGAACGGCCAGGAGAAAATGAAATAATTGTGGTGAAGTAAAAGCGAGATCAAAAGAACTATCAAATTTGAAAAGAATATATATTCAAAATGTTTGGCTCAAACCAAGGGGAAATAGGCTTGAACTTCGGTGTACGTTTCCTTGAACTTCGGCGAACTTCGGTGAACTTCGAGAACTTCGGTGAACTTC